CATTAGAAGGAAACTTAGTTTGAATTAGTCTATTAAATGTTTCTTTACTTGATGGTTTTCTTCCAAAGGGATCCCCCAGGACATCTACTCCATTTGGTACAGCGCATGGCAGAGAGAAAAGAGAGTCTAATGATGTGGAAAACTATTACAGACCTTCAATGCTTGAGGACCCATGGGCTGGCCTAGAGCCAGTTTCTGTTACAGACATAAAGCAACAGTACAGCAGTGAGCAAACAACATATACTGGTAAAAAAGGGAGGTATTTCAGTTAACACTTTTAAAGGCCAAATAACTCCATCCTGCCAGGAAAACTCTGGGACAAAATCTTTTTATTTACACAAGATGAACAGGAGTAAAGATATTGGTTAATGCTTTTATTTTATCACATTGACCCTTTTATCCAATCTTGTTTGTTTTTTTTTTAATTCCATTGGAAATTTTTTATGTACGGGGAGGGGAAAGAAGTGGTAGGAAAAGTTACCTTTCTGGCTCCGTGGAAGTGCCTACCAGCTTTGAAGAACAAAGTGTTCTTTAATCACCAGCGACTGATTTGTGACTGTTACAACAGGTTTCCGTATATTTATCTCTTCCATGCCAGATTGTTAGCCTTTTATTGTAAACTCCTTTAAATGATGGTATTTTTTTATGTTTCAACATTTTTAGAATGAAGTGACTTGGAAATAAAATGGAAATTTTGTAAATCCTTGTTTTGTAATGTATAAAGATGATTTTAGGACTTCTGTTAAGGGGTACCGATTAACAGAAGTAGCACCACTTACATGAGGTGACTTTGTAAATGTGCTTGTATGCTGTAGTTAACATCTGATCTTGTGCACAGTATTTTTTGTTAACTGTAGTGCAGAGTGAAACTGAAACATGACTTCAGCCATCTCAGGAAATGGATGTGTTGTCTTACAAATGTTTGATTTGTTGAACCACACCTTGAATGCTAAACATTATTCTGTAATATTTACTTCTGTATTTCGGACAAAACAAAAAAAAAGCATTTGAAAGAAGATTACGTGTTTCTGGATTATAACCAAGTCTGTGGCAATTTTAGACTAATTGACACGAAATATGAGAATTAATTAAATGCAAATGTATTTTCTGGATTTACCTTTAGGTTAGCATAGGATGAATGGAGCTTTGTTGTACAGTTGACATTAGCACATTAGTAGCATCTTATTTTTCATCTCTGCTGGGTTTTTTAATTTTTTACCTACAGCTGGCATCTTTGTCTGGAGAATTCTTGTTTTCGGTGTGTGCATGCTATATTTTTATCTCGAAGAGGAAAACAGCAAGGTTTCTTTTCTTTTTTTTTTTTTGGTCTTGTCTATGTATGGAAGATCCATTCTTAAATTCACTAGTGAGTATTGTAATTTAGAGCAAGTAAGAAGTAGTTCCAGCTGTAGGCATGCTCTTTACGTGCCATGTTAAGAGTGCAGTGGATATCTAAAGTGTTGTTTGACCCTACTGTTATTTGTTCATCTTTGCTTTTAGGTGATACATGGAAGATGAAAACCTAGTTAAGCAAGAAACACCACTTGAGTTTCCAAAACATATTTTTGCGTATCTTTTAAGCTTATATATTTCACAGGAAACTAGAAAATATTTTTGTAACCCTGAAGCATGGTTATGTGGAGTAGCTCAGGAATTGCATTATATTGTTCTGAGTATCTTGTGTTTTGCTGAGGTACAATAGTCCTGTAGTACTACTTGGTCTGCTTCATTATAAAGTGTCTCGGCTTAATACCACCTTCAGGAACAACTTAAAACTGGAATTGGGAGTTTGTGTGGGTAGATAACTTGCTGATACATGCTGAGTCTTAAACTTTTGTGACTGTAACCTAAAGTTTTTCACTTGTTTTTCTTCGATTAGCTTTTTTGTTTGTTTCAGTACTGTATTCAAAAGGCTGCTCAGAGAACTGAGAACATAATGCCTGCTTGATATCACGAGTTCTTAAATCATCGTCCCAGAATCAAAACTCTCATTTCTGTGGTAGTTGTCAGTATTGGTGTCTGTAACACGTACCAGCAGAACTGAAATTACTTGATTACTTGTAGATACTCTTCAGAATTTAAAAATCAATTATGTTGTTTTGAAAGGTGGAGCATAAAGTTTTCTTTCTTTTTTACCTTCACAGGTTCTGTAAAGCTCACAAAGTTAGAGTGATTAACCGAGTCATCTTTTTTGTTACTTTTCTCCTCTGTAATTCAGTGCACTTTTTGTAATGTATTTGATGATCTTGTGGAAGTAGATCTGATAGTACCGGATGTTTTTAAGAGACTAAAGCTATGACATGTTCCCAGTGAGACATGAGAAGAAACTGGGTTTGGAAAGGAGAAAGGAAAAGGATTCATGACAGAAGAGAGACCGTTAGAGATGGAACTCTTTTTGCAGTAACCAATATCAGCTGCCCTTGCACGCTGCAAAGATGCATTTTTCTACTTTGGCTTTCCAGTTGACCAAGAGATCAAAGCCAGCCACCTCTTTGCTGCTGGAACAGGGTGTCAGACATCAGTGAAGGTAGATGTTCCAGAAAGTGAATTCAGGAAATAATCTTGAAGCACTGTTCAATCAGTGCAGGCTTTCCACAATGCCATCTTTTAAGCTGCTGCACCTATGCACTTCAGGATATGACCCAACAATTAAAAGTACATCACACTGCTAAAGACTCCTATAATTTGGTCAACAACCTGCAAGGAATTTAGATGCAATAAGAATACTAAACTCATCACACCATACCAAAATCTTTGCACTGATTCAACTTTCTGGTTCCTAGGAGACATTCTGAAATTACAGTGAAATTTCAAAATGTTGTTGGATAGCTGTAAAATGTGTGAACACATGCTTAGAACCATAAATATAAAAATTAAATATTAAAGCCAGTTTAAACTTTGCCTTTTTTTTTTTCCTATGATATCCAAGAAGCTTGAGCACTTAACTTCCTCGCTGATTTTCATTTCTTTTCCCATATGGCAAACATTCTTTCTCCCACATGTTTTTAATAAAGATAGGATATACCACTTCCTCATTTGTTTATGAAGCCTCTTCGTAGCAACAGTGTGGTTCTGGAAGTAGTATTTGATGATGAGGAAAAATAAAAATCATCTGAAATGCATCCTTCCTTCATGAGCCCATGAAGCAGTATAGTTTCTGTGTCTCGCTAACGAAGGTATTCTTCTGTAATGAGCACTTAAGAATTTGAGTGTTACGCTTTCCTCAGCAGACTTCCAGGTAAGTCCTTGAACTCCTCAGAAGTTTGGGTTAGCGCCCATTCTGTCCAGTCAGTTGTGTTTGCGTTCTTTGTCCATTGAGACTTATTTTCCATTCAGTCATTATAAAAGGAATTGCATAACTCACTACTCCTTTCTAGCAAAAAAAAAAAAAATCTAATTCTTTTTACTAGCTACTGTGTTCAGTGATCAGCTGCATATGACAGATTAATGAATTAATTTGTGTACGGTTCTATGTGACATGGTAACAGCAGGTGTGGAGTGATCCCAAATTAGGTACAACTATACTTGAAGGTGGTTCAGGTTTGGGTTTTCACTGCAGCTTCATGATACAGAATAGTAACTTTTCTCTGGCACTGCAGATGCGTTGCTTTACATTGAAACTGTAAAACAAGCTATTTAAAATGTTACATTTCAATTAAAATGGGATTTTAAAGTTTGTATCAAACTTCTTTTTTTAAAAACTAGCATTAAGATACTGAGGTTTACCTTTTTAGTGTAAAAACTGGAAACACTGAGGAAGAAGTGCTTCTGATCAGCAGAATGGTCACTGTTTCTGCAGTCAGGCTATTTTCCTACTGAGGGTATCTTTATATGCTCTTCAGTTTGTGTATTCATTAGACATCTGGCAGAATAAGCATACGTTTTATGTGGAGTCTGCAAGTATCTATTCTCCAGCTCCCCCCCTAAAGAAAAGCTTTTATAGACTGTTTGGCTTTTGAGCTATGTTTATGAGAAGTCTCACTGACATCATGGGCTTCACTCATGCACCTAAGATTCTTAAACATCTAACCAACATTGAAGTTTGATAATTACTAGCCATTGGTCTTTCGTTGTTCTTTATGAACTTTGCAGTGAGCTGATGTGGCTGGCAATTGCTCTGAGTTCCCTTCTTCATACTTGCGCATTTTATATATGAGCCAAGCTTGTCATGCAGGGAAATCAATTTTGTTTTAGCTGCATTTTCCTAAATTCTTAAGAGTAGACATTTTGTTCTCCTTTCCCCAAATTTTCCTTCTTTCCAACTTGCTTATATTAGGAAGTTAAATGAAGGATTGCATCCACTGGCTGTTGAAGAATGATGTAATGATTTCCATGTCCCAGTCCCTCAGAAGCTTGTGTGCCATCTGAAGTAGGTAATATAATGTCAGATGGCTCAACTGCTTCTTATACTAAATGGAAGGAAATTAAAGGTATGTTAAGAGTGGTATAGTTTGTAGAATCATAGAATGGTCTGGGTTGCAAAGGAGCACAGTGCTCATCCAGTTCCAACCCCCTGCTGTGTGCAGGTCACCAACAGCAGCCCAGGCTGCCCAGAGCCACATCCAGCCTGGCCTTGAATGCCTGCAGGGATGGGGCATCCACAGCCTCCTTGGGCAACCTGTAACAGTGCCTCACCACCCTCTGGGTGAAAAACTTCCTCCTCATATCCAACCCAAACCTCCCCTGTCTCAGTTTAAAACCATTCCCCTTGTCCCATCACCACCCACCCTCACAAACAGCCGTTCCCCCTCCTGTTTATCCGCTCCCTCCAAGCACTGAAGGCCACCATGAGGTCTCCCCGCAGCCTTCTCTTCTCCAAGCTGAACAAGCCCAGTTCCCTCAACCTTTCCTCACACAGAGCTGCTCCAGCCCTCTGCTCATCTCAGTGCCTCCTCTGGCCCCGCTCCCAGAGCTCCACGTCCTTCCTGTGCTGGGGGCCCCAGGCCTGGACGCAGCGCTGCAGATGGGGCCTCACAGGAGCCGAGCAGAGGGGGACGATCACCTCCCTCTCCTGCTGGCCGCCCCTTTTTCATGCAGCCCAGAACACAGCTGGCCTTCCGGGCTGCAGGCTCAGTGTAGTTGCAGTATTTGATCAGTTCACAATCAAATCTAGCACCCAGGCTAGCTTTTGTTTTTGACTGAGCGTCTCTCAAAGCACAAAGAGCTGGATCAGTTTTGATTTCTGCCATTTTCTTTAAAATATGTGCTTTACAGATTTGGAGTTTAGCATTTCTTCAACCTGGAGTTCTGAATTGTCCAGTGGGGAGTAGGTGCTTAGTGCCAGAACAAGGTCACTTTACTGTTTATCTACCTCTATTTTCTTGCTATTTCCATTTGCTCTCGTCCAGGTGGTGGTTTCAGCCAAACAGTCAGACCTTCTGTTTCACCAAATATCTCTGTGTTGCAGCATTTAAAACCATTTCAGAGGTTTGCTTACAGCTCATAGTGGATTTTAAATTCCAACAGCACTATAAATTGTAATTTGTAGTTTAACCCCTAGAACTCTTGCCTGTTCTTCTGCAGTAAAATCGCAGATGAATTCCACTGCCTTCCATCACCTGTGACTATGACACACGCCTTTTCTCAACCATTTATGCATTTATATACAGCAGGGTGACTCCTATGGCTAAAAAGGACTGCTCCTGTGCAGTTTATTATTGACATTTTCAATACTGCTAACACTACTGCTATTCAAGTAAGAACTTTTCCATTCCCTCTTTCAGCAGGACAAAAATTAAGCCAATGCTGGTAATACTAAAAAAAAAATCATCCCACTCTTTGGTAAGACAGAAGAAGGGATAAAATTGAAAGAACTGCACAATTTCACAGATCATGGGACCTGGCTTGTTTGTGTTTTTCTTGTGGAGAAGCACTGACTTGTTACTAATAGGTTCAAGGCTGGCCAGGACCTGAGCTTTGGACAGAGTCACCCAATCACCATTCGACCTATTTAGTGATAAAAAGGACAATTCTGGTTTATATAAAACACAGAATAAATTGCACTGACCTGTAGCCTCTACTGTTCACTGGATGTGGAAGGATTTTGACAGATTAGTGTGTTTTCCTTTCAATTAGAGTAGAAAGTATTCCTGCATTGGGAGTTCACGTTGCCAGTATTTCTGGTAATAAAAAAAAAAACGTTATATATTCAAGCACTAGCAGGGAAGTAATTTTTGAACGTTAGAATTAATTCCCAAAGTTGCTTAATTCTCAGTACTCAGTTTTTTAGGTAACAGCAAAACAGGAGTGTGGAGGATTTATTGAATTTATACTCGTTTTTTTTCTTACTGAAGAAAGAGGTTTGTTTTATTCAGACATCAGTGTGAACTGGAGTGATGGTGGCAGTTGCATACTGCAGATCAAAGATCTGAGTCTCTTTCATTTCTTACTTGGAAGAGCTTCCATTTTCCGGAAGAAGCTGCTGCACTTCACACAGCTTTTGCAGTGAAGATGCTGGGGCTGGAGGCATTTGAGACTACTGTGATCTGCACAGGGCAAGATGGATGGCATGAGTAGAGATGTCACTGCAATTCAGCGTAAACTCTACTACCGTGCTTCCAGACTGCAGATAGAAAGGAATTTTAACATAGGCAAAACAAGTGAGTCTTGCTTCCATCCCCCTGCATACATTTCTCAAGGAACCTTTCATTTTCTAAGCTTACATTGAATCCCAGTGTCACTGGGGTGAAGACTACAAGGATTTAAGTAGTGACAGAAAACTGGGAGGCAAAGAATTTGGTGTCAGGTCAGACTGAGATTTTTAACAATTATTTTAGAACAGAGTGCATTCATCAAAAATTTGTTATTACTTTTATGGGCAGCAGTGATCATGCTGCTTAATGCTGCATTAAAATACATTTAAACCTGCTATCCATGTGTTTTGCCACAATCTAATTGCTGTGTAGTCGAGATAGCTAGAAGCTGTTGCTGTAGAGTCAACAAGTGTTTGCTTCGGGTTTAAATACTTCTAGCCTGCATGAGGGAACTGCATGATTCAGACTGCTGAGCTTGCTGTTGATACATCAGTGTGAATACTTATAAGAAGTGGAGGAACAACCCCTTTTTTACACTGATGCAAATCATTCCCTTTTCAAGAATCACACTGAGCTAGTGCTGCAACAAGGGAAGAGGAATCAGGCTAATTGACAACTTCTGTGGCTGATTACAGAGCATAAACCACAAAAAACAGAGCAAATACCAACTTCAAAAAACACTGATTGCCAGCTGGGGAGTAGTATCAGCAGTAATTGGATTATAAGTAGTAGTTGCACAACACTTAAAATCAAACCACTGCCTCCTGTGGCTTAATGAAAATCATTAGGTTAATGTGAAATCACACTTTTGAGTTGTATTCTCTTAGCAGATGTTAGGAATTAACATGTTATTCCTGCAGTGGAGTTGGCAGAGAAGAGGCATCTTCACTTCTCTGTTGTGTGTCTATTTTCTTAAGCTTAGTTAAACTTTGCAGATTAAGATCTCAGGGATCTCCAAAACAAGAAAAAAAAAAAGAAAGAAAAAAAAAAAAGACAGTAAACACTTGCATATGAGGCAGGCATACACCCTGTGTTGCTAACTGCAGGAAGGCACCAAGGCTCACACCTATTGATTACTGGCCGTTCCACATTCCTAATGCTTTTTTCTTTGTAAATTTGTAGTAGCCTTCTGGTTGCTATGGCAATTAAATTACACCAAACAAAATGATTTGGTTGTTATTTCCAGATGCTAAGAAAGCAGTATGCGGACCAAGTTGAGAAATTGTGGCTGTTTTCAGATGAGTGAGCTGCCAAGTCGCATCTCTGTTGAAACTGAAGACAGCTTCGCTATGAGCAGTATTCTTGCACTTAGAATAACTTCCTGAACAAAGTTCCAAGTATATAGAAAGCACGCACAAAGAACCTTTAAATCTCTGCTTTCAGGATTTCTGTTACATCTGGTTATATTTTCCGACTGCCTTTAATTTCAGCATAATCACTGGCTGGTCTATACATTGATTTTGCTGTAGCCTGTCACCCTCACTGCTATGAGGTGAGGAAGAAATAGTATTTTACCTGCTTTCTAAGCACACAGTTGAAACGTTCCCTGGTTTAATTTCACTCACCTACAAGATTGTCCCAGCAAGCAGGTGACAGAACTCTCCTTCCATTAATCAGATCTCTTATCATTTATCTGACAGATTTTTTTTTAACACGCGTGCAAACACCCCTTAACTTCACTCAGAGAAAATACCTTAATCAGATTGAGTTACCGTGACTTTCTCTTTTGTAAGTCTTGTATTATCTCTTACCCCCCTGCCTTTTTTTTTCCCCACAAAGTGGTTATTGAATCAACTGTATCTTAAGGCTTTTGCGTGTAGATTTTCCATAGAAATAAGCCTGCTTTTGCTGTCTCTTCTGTTAGAACAAGCTTGGTATGTCCTTCAGGGTTCTACTCTCAGTCTGCTGGAGCATGTGGTGGAATCGATCCTTTTTTAAGCTGCACACACACATACACACATAGCCAAACACACCCAAAACTCAGCATATGTATGTATACTGAAACAGTAAATCCTCGATGGGAGACAAAGCTGGAGGGAAGAAGGGAAGAAAACTACCTCAGGAAAGTGCAAAATGAGGCACTGTCTCTCTTCAGCAGCCCCAGAGCATGCTATTTTTCAGTCCATGAGTGACAAGGAAGGAGATGTGTGTTTCAGAGAGAAGTGAGTTTTAAGAAAATAAAAAGTCTGTGTGCACAGGGACTTTTCAGTATATATCATTTACTGTAAATGAAAAAAAGAACATTCAGCTTTAGCCTAGTTACAGTTACTGTAGTACAAAATTCTATTTCAGAAGCTTTTAAATTGCTAGAAGATGAGCTGCAAAGCAACTTTCCTCTGTCTTATAAACTTTCCAGAGTGCAGACAGAAAAAGCTGGTTTCTGGTTTCATTCTAACTGTACTGATGCATCACAGAAAAACAGCAGAAACACATGTAATGAAAGCGTATACCTTTACTAGCAGTTAGGCTGTTGCTATGTAAGAATCCAAAAACAAATAGTTCAATTCCTGGGGTTTTACTTACAGGCCTGGGGAAGATCTTCAGCATAGCAGATTTCCCTCTCCAGCACCTCTTGGCAAGGAGGTCCTCTGGTGTAAGACTGGCTCCTTAGAAGCACATTCTTTGTTCCCCCTGAGGTTCGGCATCAGCCTCACTCAGTTGTTTCAGCGGATAGCAGAAGTCCACGCTGTGTTGCACCTTCCTGTAAAGTGACATCAAGGAGTAGAAAGCTCAAGAAAGATATTAAGACCTGCATTCATTTTTCTGTTTCTTCGCAGACTTCACAGCATGCTTTGCCCTTTCTCCACATTCTCTTTCCACCAGCCATTTCTATTTTCTTTCCTCAGCTGACGCTCCATTTGAAGCACTTGCTTCTCTCTTTTGCTCTGTTCTTAGGACAGACTTAAGCAATTTCCAGGCTACTCTTCTCACAGCTATCTGTACCACACAGTCCTGTTTGTGCCGGTCTGATTACCACTGTTCCATAGTTCTGCCAACAAAGCAGCTCTTCCAACTGCTTTCAAATCACAGCTTGAATGGTTTAAAGTATTTTTTAGACTGAACTTACTGATGTCTGAAACAGGAAAGCTAACTCTAGTGAGCTTTTCCAAAAGCAAATTTCACAATAGAAGCTGTCAGTCACCTCACTAGTAATAAATTGCAACTTCAGTTGGAAAACACTCAGCAAAGGCACTTCCATCTGTAATCTGCCTGCATCCCCTTCCTTTTTACTTGCTGCACATTCTTTTCAGGCTCTTGCTTCACTACCTTTGTCCTGAGGTCAGGCGGACCCTCTTTGGTAGTTGTCTGTTTTTCTCTCCTCCCTCTCCCTATTTTTTCTTTTTAACTAATTCAAAATTCTAAGCGTCTTTCAAAGAGGTAAAGACAAAAAGCTTTTTAGGTACCAAGCAAAATTCATGCCTACTGAGTAACAAAGATAGGTGAAATTAATAGCTTCAGTGACGCTAACTTGTTAAGAGATACAGATTACACATCCTTTCATTAAAACCTGGATTACAGCAAATAAAACTGAATACTGTTCTTATTTGCCTAGTCAGCTATACATAGATCTCATCAAATCCCAAATCACCCCCTCCATCCACCAGCCAGTGCCAGAATGAAGTATTTATCCTGACATCCTGCATAATGGAAGATGTAAACATCACCCAACGAACGACTTCTGCACCAAACCAACATCTTCACTTCAACCAGGCCATAAAACACCATCATTAGAAAGGTCTCTGACATTTGAAGAATTCAAAAGGCACCCATGATTGGATAAGGAGAGGATCAGGCTGGGAGTGTCCTGCAACTCCTGCCACTCTGTCCTTCCTTCTTTTAAACCTATGGCAATAAAAAACCTCCCTGCAGCCACAAAGATGGAGGAGGAGAGCCTGCATGCCAGGCCACCTTCTGCTGTCCCTTCTTGCTCCCAAGAATCCACAAATTGGATTAGAGAAACTGACTTAAGTAACTCTATGTCATGGCTGTGTAATCCTTCTGTGAACCTAAAGATACAGCTCTCACTTTTAGAGTATAGTACCAAACTCAATATGCTTGTCTTGTAAAAAGTGAACAAAGTTGTCCAATCTTTGCTAAGTATTGAAGGGAAATTGTGGAGCATAATAAATCTGAGGTACAAAGATCATTAAACTAGAGACACTACATGAAAAAAAGAAAAGGATTTCAAGACAAAGTGAATAAGGTGGAAGTCTGCACCTCTCCATCACTTCTCCTAATGTGAGAAAGTGCAAACAATCCCTTTTTATCTGATTTAGAGGTCAGTACTCAGTTATTTTGCCACTGTATCTTTCTGGACGGGCCACTGTGAATGATGAGTGCAGGCAGAGAAGTGGGGCACAGTTCTAGAAACAGCTTTGAACCCTTCTCCTCCATATAGAAATTTGTCTTGGCAATGTTACTTTTAGTGTGAAGTTAACCAACACAGAAGCATTGGAATCAAATTGTAACAAAGACACCTCTTGCTAAGCATGAGCACTGCCTAATGACTGAAGAGGATCCAGTGTTTTGTTCCTCCCTCCTTCCATTCCCTGAACCAAGAAAAACTTCCAGAGCAGGCTTCAAATGCACACATCCCAGGAGCAGATGTACCAGCAGGGAGGGAGCTGTGCTTTCCAACTCATTCCAACTGGAAATGATGCTCTGAGCACCTGTGCTATGACTAGTCATTAAAATGTTCCAGATTCTGAGTTAAGTCTGCAATGCTACTTTCGTTTTCCTGTTTTCAGGTTTGCTGCAAAGAATGCAAGTAGATGCAAAAACACTATTTTTAACAATAGGAAAGAAATCTTCTTAGGCTGTTGGACTGAAAGGCTTGGAATGGTTGAGAATCTCCAGTGATTTCACAGATAATCCATATATTTGTATAGATCATTGGATTTTGTCTTCTCTCTAATGTAAAATCTGCAATGACAGCAGGAACAATTTCACACCAATACAACAGTCTACATTTTAGTGCACAGTGCTGCAGAAATGGAGGTCACAGTCTCCAAAGAGCCTGAGAGGGATACTTGTGTTGTTGAATTTCACTGCAAATGGAAAAGATTTATGTCATGATCAGAAGTGTAGCTCTTTCCAGAGGCAGATTCTCAAGCAATTATCACTGGTAAAGCAGTTTTTAGCTCTACTAGCCATTAATTTAATTAGTCTTTTCTAATTATTTTTATGACCAGTGCCTCAGGTGCAGCTGATAGCTGCATAATCCAGCCAAGCTCCTGCTTCCTCTTCTCCTGGAGACAAACGTTCTTCTGCTATTCTGATTTAGGACTCAGACTGCAAAACAGTGACAGTTCCTAAACACAGCGTAGTGTCACAAGCTTTCTGTGCTGTGTTTTACAGAAAACAGTCCATAGGTTGAGGTTTCAAGTCCTCAAGTTTGTTGGTGTTTTGCTTTGTTGGTTGGTGGGGTGTTTGTTTCCACAGGAAACTTAGTGCCATGATCTCTTTCTAGAGCATAGAACTATCAGTGTAATAGTTATTTTTTTTTAATGTATCTTACTTTCTAAGAGCTACCAAAAAATAAAACTAAAAAAACAAACAAACAAACCAAGTTTAAAAACAGTAATGCATCATTCGTAGTGCTTGAACTCCTGAAACACTGAATTCAATATTCTAACAACATATATTGTATGACGTGGGCCTTTCACAAAACGCTGGGTACATAACACAACCTTGTTGTTTTTTTTCTGACTGATTTGAGAACAGTTAATGTCAACCTGCAAGTTTTTCTTTCCCACTTGTAAATGGTTTCACAACTGCTGTGCAGAGCAGCAGCAACTGTCAGCTTTTCCAGCGTGGTTTGAACCATGCTCTTCACAGAAATCCGGTTTCCTGGGTCTAACTGCTTGTAAATATGATGCTGCTGGTGTCCAGAGGAATAGCTGCTGTTGATGGTTTCTCTCCTGCCCTCTGAAATCCTCCAGCAGTGTCATGCAAGCAATGGCTCCACTGGAACTCGAGCATAATTCTCCCTTCAAATGGTTGCTGAGCAGCAAAGCGCACGCTTCTACATCCTCCATGCTGGGTTTGCCTCGTTACACTGGTACAGGTTGCTCATTTATCCCCTTTGCAAAGAGCAGCAGCAGTTCTGCGTATTGTTCTCACTCAAAATACAGCTGGAAACAGACTCCCTCGGGTTGGGTCAGTGTCGGTGACGATCTCAACTCCGTGTTGTTCTGCACACTCAGCTGACCTTCACCATCACCTGCGGCCTCTTCTGTTGTTGCAAGAATGTCTGAAAATGTTTTAGCTTATCAGTGTAACCAGTCCCTCTCTTACTGCGTTTTTCTTTTCAGTTCTGTAGAAATAACAGATGATCGCACCTAAACCACCAACACTTGGGTGCTGGTTGCTCCTCTTCCAAGACAAATCCAAAAGAAACACGCGTTCCAGGCAGCCATGCCAGTTTCACCAAAATCTTTTGGTGAAAATTAAGCCTTCTTTGAAATGCTGACATTTTCTCAAACGTTTCTTTTTCATTCATATTGTTTCAGAAAGAACAGCAAATGTTTTTAAATAAATGTTGCTTTAAGAAAAAAAAATAATTGAAAAGAATACTTGATTTACCTACCGGCCTACTGACTGCATACTGTGACACCGTATGACTCTTTAGAATTCTTTTCCTATAAATTCCATATTACACAAGAATCCATATTTAAATGAATTGTGTGAAAGTTGAGAGGCTGCAAGGGGGCGATGCTTGTGATCTACAACAAAAGAAGGAAAAAAATGAAGAGTCTGCCATTAGATCAGCTGAAAGAGAAAGCCACCTCTGGTTTGTCTTACGGTATAAGCTGAAACAGAGTTGTGTTTATGACAGAGCAGGTTCTGCAATTTGGTGGGATTTCTTTTGCCATTGTGCCCAAAAGGCAAGGTTGTAATTGCAAGTATGGTGTGCAAATAAAAATTCTTACTGCTCTGTGCACGTCTTCTTTCGCTGTCCTGTGTAACTGTATGTGCTCGTGGGGAAGTCAGAGCAGGATCTGCAGGCTGTAACAAGAAGCAATGTGTGGAGAAAAGCATTCACAGCTCCTAACAAAGCCTGCCAGGCTTACAGTGATACCTTCCTGGTGCGGAGCCACCAAACCATCTGCAGATAAGTTTTTAATTAATATTTGCCACCCCCTTCTCCTATCCATCATTAATAGCTTTCTGTTCACTTCCCATGCCTGCTGTACTCCTTAGCCTGATTTTTCCCCCAGTGATGAACACTTGTCACCAGTAAATAAACACATTTTTACAACTGCTGTTCTTCAGTAGCACGACGGATGGCAGGGAGGTGTGCACAGTCCCACAGCACGCTGCAGCTCACTGTAACAGCTTGCTTTATGGAGACTTCACAAGGCATGAACAGGCTGAGCAGCGGTGCAGGGCAGCAGAGGTGGCAGCCCCACCTCCCTGCAGCGCTGGCCCTGCAAGCAGCCCACCTCCATCAGCACAGGGGCAACCAAGGAACAGCAAACACTGAGGGAGATGAGAAAATTATCTTTTTCTCCAGCAGGAAAAATAGGAGATGATATATGGCGACATCAGTAATACTGGATTTTCAGTTGTTACACAACAATATTTGTTTTTTACATTATTATCTATTATTATTGCATGGGAATAGTAATGTTACTGGACAAGAACCTCCTCCAAAAATTCAGAGCTTCCTCTGGCTCCCCAAGGAAGAGGACCTCCGTGTTATCTCACCTGAGTGCAGAGAAAGGCATTGGAGTTTCACAAACTGGAACATCCCTTTGCTCATCCTTGTGCAAAGTGTTGTAACCCAGGTAGAACCATGGGACAACCCAAATCCACTCTTTATTGGCTGTGGACGCTCTGTGTGACCTCAGACAAGTCCCGTAGCCCAGATTCCCAAACAAGTAACTCCTGTAGCTGCCACCACCCCAAGGACACTGGGAAGGGTCATGCTGTGCTGCTGAGAGGCAGCCCTCCAGCCCTCCAGGAGCCCCTACGGGTAGGGGAACCGCCGCGCTCAGTTTGTACCAGTTTCTCATTTAGTGATTTTCTCACCCAGAAATACCAGATTTGCCTCCGCTCCCTAGGAGGAGGATTTCTACAGTAAGTCAGGGCTCAGACTGGCTGGCAAGCAGGGGAGAAAAAAGGTATATGAGAGAGATTCTTGTTGGATGTGCTTCGTCTTGTAGAGACTAAAGTGGGTCACTGTAAAAAAAAAAGGAATAGAAAAGATGGTCTTGGTATTTTCAGGGAACTTCTGGCCTTAAACGTGTGGATGAATGCACTTCTCTTGCATTTCACTGCAAGACGCTCTGAGGTTCCAGCATTAAGCACGTTCCCTGCTTTGCTCTGGCAGATGTTGCCCTGCACAGAACCTCCTCCTCCTGGCTCCACAGGGCTCCCAGAAGGAATACAGCTCCAAGGCAAGAGTTTGCCATGCAGCTCTAAGATCCCTTCATACGCTTTCTTCTCCATAATCTGCTGCATGAAACAATTTGAAACAGGAACAAGGGGGAAAAAATATTTTCCCTGTCATTATTTCTAGAGCACCAACACAGCTACTGGATTACCTGGGAGAACAGAAGAGAAAGACTTTGGAGAAGAGATGCACTGCAGCAGGAAACTTTGCCATGGGGCTGGACCATTCTGATGGCTTGACTTATAGTGATTTATTGACAGGAAGGGTGTTTTTTTTTTTTGGCTTAGGCCTTATTATTCTTAATTTAGAGGAGAAGCCCAGAGGACAGGCTATTCCTATCTCCAGAAACAAAACTTATCAGTGTAAGGAGCATCTCCCTGCCACCACTCTATGGAGAGGAGAAAGCCAGCAACCATTACAAACTTCAGCACAAGCCATTAAATTCAGCTGTGAGGGATAGGATGAGGGAGAGCTTCCATGCATTGCATTGTGCCCACCCTGGCAGGGCTGCAAGCGCAGGGAGCTGGGAAGCCCAGCATGCATGGCGGGGGACAGCAAGGGAATTCTCATGGGGAAGCTGACACCCCAAACCTCCACAAAGGATAATAAAGCTGGAGAAAAACAAAGAGAAGCAACAGCAGCCCTTTTACGTCTCTTCCACACCGTATTTCCTGGTGTTGAAGAAGTTTTTGCACATCCTCTTTGAAAGAGGCCGTGTGAGAGACCCATTCATATCATGAGGATTCCCCACAGCAGCAGCACCTCCCAAGTCCCCCGGAGGAACTGTTTCTGCAGAATTGAAACTGAGCTGTGAGAAGTGATTGGAGTATGGCCTATTAGCAAGTGCTGTTATACCTGAAGGAAGTGAAACATTGCAGTAGAACTCAAATTTCTTTCCAAGTTGAATTACACTGATGGCAAGCTCCCTCCACAGGCAATAAAAAAAGAGGCTGAACTAAGCAGACACAACATGCAGGGGGCTCAAAGGAGAGCCCCTCAGCAACGTGGAGGTAATTGCAGTCAGCTGGGAAAAGGAAGCAGCTCTTGTTTGTCAAACCAAATTCTTTCTCTGCTTGTTTGCTGCGGCTGCCAGGAGCTCCGACGTCCCCATGCAACAGGGAGCTGGTGGATGTCATGGATGTATTCCCTTCTGCCGGATGCCTTACAAATAGGAGCAGCCGAATCTTGTTCCATCTCATTTAATAGCACGGGCTGCAAGGTGGAATACTTTTTCTCCTGTTCTTTGCCACTGACTTCACACACGCGGTCCTTGACGCAGGCTGTGGCACTGCAGCCATTTCTGCCCCTCCTCTCTCACTTGCTGCAGCTTTTAGAAGGTTGACTCACACAGATCCAGCTGGGATGATTCCCGTTGCCCTTTGCACAGCACCCATCTGATCTGCTGTGTGCAGGTCACCACTTGCATAACGTGGAACGAGCTGCCTGCCTGAAGAACAGCCCAGGCTTTTCTTAGAGCTGCTGCCAATATATTTACTATCAGAAAGGAAGATCCTTTTGGCTGCTGCTAGACATTCTGTCAGCTTAACGTCAGTATGACCAGCACTGACCTGTGACTTCCCCTTCATCCTCTGCACGGGGTGTTTATCAACAAGCTGCTGGTGTAAAGGCAGCAACCTCCTGCTCAGCCTGCGGCTAACGATGCGGAAGGTACAGCAGGTGACTTGGCTTTGGATGAAAACACAGCATGTGTGGGAAAAGGCATCTTTTTCACTATATTAACTGACACAGCAGGAAAACAAAGCAGCGAGGCCTAAGGCACTCATAGCACAACCGCTGGGGCCACGCTCTATCTGCCTTGCTGCCCCCGCAGCAACACTGCATCACCAGATCCTGAAAATACCCGACCCCTTGTTTCTGAATCCCACCCTTCAGCATGCTCACCAGCCTCTTTATGGAGCTGGAGAGGGGGAGAACAGCAACCGTGTTTCTGCTTGGCCAGCAGAGAATGCCCTAAAAACACTCAGGTAGGAGATTGTTGCAGTTGCAGCAGCCTCCCACTCACCCTTTGAATTGCACCCCAGCATGCAGCCGTGCCTGCAGCACCATTGCCAAACCACGCACTGCCCAGGAGCCCGGCTCCAGCACTGAGCATCTGCAGTTCTCCTCCAAAAGGCAGCGGAGAAGGAAATATTTGTTTGAAGAACTAACAACATTTTCACGTACTGAAAAATCACGTTCCCATGGATCTTGAGAAAGTAATTAATCCAAAGCTCTCTTAAAATTCCCTTCGATAACCAAAGAGGAAAAACAATGAGAGACTTCAAGTTTTCATGTATTTTATTTACAAGCCACACGATACATTTATATACAAATGGCTTAAAATAACGAAGGGTAAGCAAGCTGAAGCATAACAGTTTGATTATTTTAAATTACGTTCTCTTGAAATAACTCCTGCAATAAAGTATTCTTCACCCTGATAAGCAAAAGTTAGTTCGACTTTAACCCAAGGTCATTTCATTTTTTAAATACAGAATTCATATCACTTTTCTGTGATCCTTTATCTTCTTAACACTCATGTATGAAGAACATCCCACAGCCATCAAGAAGGGAAACAGCCAAATTTCCTCCTGTACAAATGCTGTAACAACAGACTGGAGAAATGTAAAATGCTTGTGTGTTTCATTAACTAAGAGAATGCAAGAAATACATGAGATTTCCTCTCTTGGAAACAGGATTCATGGTCTGAGATCCAATTTGCGCGCGGACGAGAGCTGTGTTCCCACTGTCAGAGACCAAACAGATCCCAGTGCAACTGCGCCACACCAGAACCTGCCTGCAGCAGGGACCAGCAGAAGGGCAGAGCTCCAAACCCCGCAGAGCTCAACACTGCAGCACTCGGCACCTCTGCTGTCACACTGCCGCAGCAAGAAGAAAATTCAACACAGACTCGTTTTGTGGAAACATAAGAAAATACAGAAATTTGCCATTTAATTTCCGCCCCCCCACCCCCAGGGAATTCTATTAACATTTAAAGACATGTATTTTTACACCCCTTCCCAAACACCGCTCCGTTTCAGGTCACAGCTAGCAATCCATGACACAAGTCAGTTCCTTTTCCTTCGGCTGATTGTAAGTGTTCTAATACTCTAAGTGCCTTAAGTCACATCCAGCAGTCTGGTCGTGCTCACGTTTCTCCTCTTGGTGTGGCTAATGACTGCCCAGTATAAATAATAACGCTTGCTATTCCATGGTCCATGGTTACAGTACTTTGCTATGTTTTAGAAACACAAACACACAACACTTACTTTTTGATGTGGTGTCCAGGTCTCTGTAGCACACTTTGGAATTGCAGCACAGAAAAAGTAAACCCAAAGGAAGGTGGGAAGTAACCAAAGCCATGGCTCCGCAGAAAATCACACGGCTTTCAGAATGCCTGCGACTGCAGCAGAAATGCAATGGCCACGCGAAGCCAAATGTTGCACTAGCACTGACTCGCTCTGCTAAGTGAAGTTTGTTCAAAAGGGTCAAATTCTCAACTGATGTGAGCACCTCTTAATACGGTACAGAAAAGAAATGTTGATAAATCACATGCGGGGCCAGCACAACCCAAGGTGGGCAGCCCTCGGGCCTGGATAACTCCTAGACCAGGCCCAGACCAGGGGGAGCCAGGCAGATCCCCGGGCTGCAGAGAAGGCAGCAGCCTCCTTGCTCAGCCATCATCCCATGCTGACTGTCCCCCTGTGCTACACCAGCACCGCTGTCCCAAGCTAACAGTCTTCAGTCACAGGCTGCTAATCCTTACACTGAATTTGGGAAACATGCATCTGCAACAGTGTGGAAGTTTTGGTTTAGATCCACGCAGAAGCCGGCTGTCTACTCCATCTCCTTTGTATCCATCACAGCCACAGCAACTTGCGTCGGCTCCGCTATTACATCTGAAGACCAAAATCCATCTCAGCACAACAGCGCAGCAGCAGAGCAATGCCAGCCAGCAGTGGTGCTGCTCCGCCTGCCTTCACTTGCAGTACTGAAAGTCAAACCACTTAGTCCTCCTTGAAACCTACCTTCCATTTGAACTTGCCTGCTTTTTTTTTTTTTCTTTCCAATTTACATTGGAAGTGCAGTAGAGTAACACGGGGCTGCACGTTTTTAGTGAAAACAATGGCCTAAGAGCTGTAAAAGTCTTGCTTAACTCAAAAAAAACCAACAACAAACAACTGTCTGAACCTCTTGGGGTTTTTTTTCTATCAATTAGTAAACAAATAAGCCTCAGCTGATGCTGTCCGTACCTAAATGAGAATAATGATTTCAGCCTTTAAAATTCAACCAGCAGAAAAATGTTACTGAGGTCCTTACTCAAGGAACCCAACCTGCCTCGCACTCCGGCAAGCTGTGACTTCCCTAAAGCACGCGGCCACGAGCGTTTGCTCCTGACTGCCTGGGCTGATTTTGCTTTCAGAGGGCAGGACTCCCTTCTGTGCCTGGCGAAGGCAGCTGCCAGACTTACAGGGACACCTCCATCTCCCACCTGCCAGATCCTCAATCCACACAGTCAGCACAGTGACTTTCTCCATGCCCTGCAACGCGGCACTTGGCCATCAACAAGAACCGAGGTTTTGAAATTAAAACAAAACATCGACACCTTTGGCTTCTATTCTGAAAGTCCAAAAAGTCACTGACAAGACTACATTTGAAATAGTGTAAGTAGAAATTTTACTTTTTAAAAAGTAATAATTAAACACTCAGTTACATAAGGTACCGATTTGTCAACTGGAGAATCAGTTGGGAAATTGTTTCCAATATGGGCTTTAAAAACATTCTTTTACGTACATGCAAAATATAACCATACCTCCTCTCTGCAGGAGAGGGACCGCTTGTCACCACAGGAAAAAAAACATGCTCGATGTTATGGTTACTGAGGAGTGGCTCTTGGTTCATTAAGTTTTAACTACAGTTGCTTTATCTGTTGTTCAGAGAGACTCGATTCCGACTCTGGAATACTGGGTGGATAGCAGATACAAGGACGATTAGTTGGCACAATCAAGAGTTTACAGAATTAGAACTAGTGTAAAATGTCTGCTTTAAATACTGGTCATTTGTCCTTTGTTTACTTCCCATAATGCAGCAGCTGTCGTAATAAGGAGATAGCATCAGCTTTTCACACACAGTAATTACTGCTGTTGACATTTAAGAGGAGAATTTTTTTCACCACTTGGAAAGGACATAAGAAGCATAGTTTATTTGGCAGAGGAAGGAAATCAATTACTACAACTCCAAAGAGGAGCTGAGGAAAAACTGCGCTCTTCACTCTTCTCACTTTCGCAGTTTCTTACGAAGTTCAATTTGGAAATGATGATGATCAAGATAGGATTAGATGCCTAAATAACTGGTCCACATGAAGTAAACAACACAAAGTCATGACCTATTTGAGTTTCCTATTATTATCTGGTTTTCTGATTAACTACCTAGGTTTCAGTATTACTGTAGCATTGATTTATAGAGTACTTCCAACTTTTGCAGACCTTAAGCTTACGTGTTAAGGCACTTACCATTCAAGTAAAACAGTTTATATATAAACGAGCCCGGGAGATGGAGAGAACATTTTACCAGAACATCCATTCTTTTTTTTCTTTTCTTTTCTTTTTTTTTGGAAAGAAAAAATTAACATCGACCAAATATTTATAAAATTTTGCATCAAGAGAAAGGTTGTGTTTTATTATCTGAAATGAGCACAAAGTACGCCTTCCACAATAACACTGAAAGCAGTGCAATGACTGACAGTGACCTTTGACTAAAGGTAGTTCTGTAAAAAGAAAAATACCAAATAAATCAGTGCCCTGCTTTGATTGTTGTAAAATTCTTTTTTTTTTTTTTACATAAAAGTTGGTCCAAACTTACAAAAAAAGCACAAATGTGCATAGTTCAGAAGATCTGAAAGAGTGCCATAAAAAGCTGATGTCCCTAAATTTAGCATCCACTTAAAACTGCCAAAATACAAAAAAAAAAAAAAAATTCAGAACTAGTTTGTGAACATGTACAATCAATTCATCTCTTTTTCAGACAGCATGAGTTTTAAGCATTTTTAATTTTTCCTACTGTATGCAAGACCCTTTTCCACATAAAAATAAAGCTGTTGAATTAATATTATTCAAGTCTGTTGAATTGCTGCTTTAAACTGCAGCTAGAAAACAAAAAAACCCAAAGTTTTTCCAGATAAAAACGATGTGCCTGAGGAAAAACAGATACTCAAAATGGTAATCCTCTGCCTCGCCCTCTCACTGCAGACGTGCTAATGTGCCCCCTGTAGCCTTGGGAGTAGCCAGGTCCTTGTGCAGGGGATGTCCAGGTCTGTCCATGCACGTGGCTCATGCCACCGGGGTTCTCCTGTAAGTTACTTCCATAGCTATAGTTGTGCATCTTAGCAGGCAAGGAATGAGTACTCTCCGGCCCCACAGAAGCGTCCCTGCTGTTCCCCAGGACTGAGATTGGGCCGTGGCTGTATTCAAACCTATGGTCTTTATCTCCGCTGAAGAGCATGGGGCCGGCGTTGAGGTAAATGTCTCCATAGCCAGTTACTGAGCTGGGAAAGGACTCTGAAAAGGCAGACGGGGCAGGGGCACCTCCCTGTGAGTGAGATGAAGCAGTACTGTAGTTATCCAAAGGCTGAATATCTGCGTTCCCGAGGAAGCTCCTTCGCTCCAGCGCTCCCGATGACCCGCTTCCTATGCCATCGCTGCCGCCATAGTGAGCAGAGGAGAAGGCAGACGATGCAAAGTTGTCCTTGTAGTCTGGGCCTGCTACATAGGAGTCTCTAGCCTGGTAATCCACGCTCGTCTGTACGGGCTCCTCTGTCGTTGCCTGAGCTTGATGCTGAGCGAGCAGCTGCAGAAGCGCCGCTTTCACTCCTGCGTGAGGATCTGTTCCTGAAGAGTTAGTTATAGGCAAATGCTGGTTCTCTGTCCGATAATCAAGGTCTTCGTCAGTGAGAGGAGGGGGCTCTGGGGGCTCCGGGGGACGCTGGTCTGGAGGCAGGATCCGAGGGCGTTCCTGTTCCGGCGTTCGGTTCAGGAGCCTCATCTCGGCCTGCCTAGCCAGGTCCTCTTGACCTATGAGATGAGAAATAAAAGCTTTGGAGTGAAAATATGCAATAACAATACCGGAACAGAAAGGGCTCTTTCCTAGAACATCAGAGAGGTTCATTGCCTCAGTTCTCTTTAACTTCTCAGTTAAGTTTTACTCCTGGTCATTTTGGAGTAGGCAACAGCATGGTTGCTTTAAGAAAGTGATACCAGGTTCTCCTCATAGTAAGATTACCAAGCAAGCAAAGTTTAAGAAAAGTGGTGCACATTCCTTTAACAAAAAAATCCTGAAGGAACAGATAAACACCTGAAAGTTCAAAGAGTGACCAGAAACATCTGCAAATGGCACATATCAGAAAAGGTCTTCATGGAAAGAAGATTCAGAGAACTGCAAAGGTTAAAAGCAAAATAAAAACAACCTTAACACCCCGCTGCACAAAACCCACTCCTAAGCCACTTCAGAACGTTTCTTTCAATAGTTGCACACTGCACACCTCAATAAACCACTATAGCTGAAATAGCAGTTCAAGATGACCAAAAACAGAGCTCTAAACATTAAGACAACTAAGAAAGTAGCCACTATAAGCCAATGGAAACATCCAGCCATGTGTGTTACTGACAAGTTATGGGCAGCCAGCTACAGAAACTGCACTAAGAAATTGATAATAGTGCTCTACTCAGCATTAAAAAAAAAATAAAAAAGCAAGCAAATGAACAAAAACTGCAACCTTCACCTCAAAATAGGCTCTAACTAAACACACAGTCAAAAGTGGTAAATTTGAGCTATGAATTCAATAGATGAGCCAGTTCTCTCCAACACCAGCACTGCTAAGAAAAACTCAAACTGCCATAAAAAACAATCAGTGCAACTGTTTCATCAGAATAAATGCAGGTGCTGCACACCTGTCAGAAGGAGCATTTTTTAAATCTGTCGGTATGGCACCTACTACAGTAAGACACAAAGTCCAGCCACGCATTTACATTCTCACCAAAAATCCCCCAACCAACCAACCTACAACAAAAAAGCCACAAACCCAGCAGCTAGTACTTGAACAGTCACAATGCAAACAAAGGAAGCAACCAAATCGACGTAATAATCTCTCCTGTACTCACACAGACTGGTAATGTTAAGAGGTTAACCCTTTACCCCCAAACTAGCTGCCTTCACAGCTCAAGATACCTGTTGCTTAGCAATGAAAGCCTTCAGTACCTGCAGGAGTATATAATGACTTGATCAGATGTGGGTAACCGGGCGCTGGAGATTCCATGTCGTCCCGGCTGAGAGATGCAGGCGTGGTGGGCTCTGGAGGCTGCCTGAGTTGTAACGACATTTCATTTCCTGATCCGTTTTCCTTCTCCTCCAACACCAAATCTTTTTGTTTGGTTTGCTGAGCCTTTATTAACTGAGACAGCAGAACAGCAAATGCACTCTGTACAGCTGCCTGGGCAGCGTCAGTTTCCACTTTGGGCTGACTCAGCTGAGCAGGTGGCACAGGAGGCTGCGTGACGGTCGGCTGTTTTAGGGACTCCTGTTCCGGCGGTGGCGGTGGAGGCGGCGGCGGCTGCTGTTCTGACTGTTTTTCACCTGCTGACAAAATTCCAGCAGGAAGATTTATTTTATTTAGTTGCTGCTGAGTCTCTGGGTTTACCTTAATATTCAACACTTGGGCAAACTGTGCCAAACTAACACTTGTTTTAGACTGTAGGAGGTTTAGCAGGATTGCCACTTCATTCTGGTTTAACTGCTGTCCAGTGCTTGTTTTTGCTAAAGACAAAAAAGGTGTTTTTAAGAATTATACAGAATTTTCATATTTCAGAAACTCAAAATTAAGACTAATCTAACAAGGCTGTCACAACTGGCAAAGCGTGGTTTTGGACAACACAGAAACGGAATGCTTTTACAGAGAAACTGCCTTTGGGGGAGTATCTATAGGAAATGGAATATAAGATCCAATATAAAGAAAGTGACTTCCAAGGGGCACGCACATGCACTTGGACAGATGAGATACATCAAGCTGGAGCTCAATTTTCCACAATACAACTAAGCTGGGGCTTAAGGCCACCTGCTTTAGGCAGCTGTAAGATTTCCAATCCCCACAAAATTTCCTATCTTTGACATATCACATCCCTCTGTTAAAAAGTGGACATCTGCAAAACGCATTTGCAGTCACATTCTGGCCTGTTCTAATTCAGCATCTGGATTCTAACACCTGCTCAATTGACCAGGCTGTAGATGACCCAGAAGCTAGCAGTATCAGCACAAGGAAGCAAATGCTGAGCTTGAAGGACAAGTCAATCACTGAGTAGCAGGAAGATTCAGGTTTGTAAGGTACCCCCTTTTTTTAAAAAACAAAAACAAAATGGTGTTTATTTGACATAAGTAAGAGGGTGCTGATGAAGGGGAAGGTGAGTAAGGAAGTCAGAATACAGAACTATTTTCTAAATTTCAAGCAGTCACTGTGTCAGTTATTCTGAAAGGGAAGTGAAGCAGCATGCCCCATAACTAGATGATTTAGAAAAGAAAGGTGAAAATTAAAATGGATGTGTTTTTCTCTGAATTTCTGTAACCCAGCTCAACGTGCACACATTGTGCCTTCCTGCTAATACACTAAGATACTCATTCCTGGCACATTCAAGGCCACACCTGAGAAAAACAGTCACACAAAAATTAAGTAGTTGCCTTGCAAGACTACCAAGAGCGCAGCTGGAAAGTGCTGCAAAAGTCACAACCTACTTGTGGATGTACACCAGGATGCAAGCACCTGGATTCTACTCTGCCAGGTTCTAAGGACTTTAAAGATTTTATATGTCCAAATACAAAAATAAAACCATCTTCTATTTAGCAATAGATAAAAACCATTAACGTTTAATGCCTTGCACTGCTGGATCTCAGCCAGCTGTCACGCAGTATTTTGTGACATCTGAGGATGGTATGCTCAGGAAGATAACAAATTACATTCAAGCTTCTCTCAGCTTGTCAAGGTGCAAATTCAGCAGAAAGTGCCCCCAAGGGTAACTAACCTACCTGTTACACAACTCTGTGACTAGTTTCAAGTCTATTCCAAGCACAGACAACACTCTGGGAAACCTATCAGTTTCCACCAGAACAAAATGAATGAGCTGTACACAGCTCCTGTTAAATTATAAGATGTAATAACCAGCGTTCTCATTCATGAAGCAGAACATCAGCAATTTATCTATTTTTAACCACTTTTTGGCACACACACACAGACACAAAAAAAAGCAACAGTCTTGCTTAAAGCATGCATTTTCCATTTATACACCTGATCCTTTAGCATGCCTTACGGGTGATTTTAACTAAGGTTTATTAGGATTTCAAGAAGAACTTCACTTAATACAGAAAACACCTACATGCTGAACTGTCTAAGCTCTTTTTGTCTTCTTCTTTTACACCTACATGTATTTTTCTACCTCATTATGTGTAAGCAGTATGTCAGCTCTGAAAGATTTCCTTCTCTCTCTTTTTTTTTTTAATAGTTTTTCTTTCCTTTTCTTTTTTTAATGTTTCGTTTTAATGACTGATTACAGCAGGTCGCCAACATGCTAACTGCTACAGAAGCACAAGGAAAACTGCTACTGTCCTCTGGGCTTTAAGCCTCAGTTTGCATTTGTGGGGAAAACACTGCGAGGGCTGCAGAAAGGCATCTTTGGAAATACTGCCAACACTGCTCAGAGTGAGTGGTAGAGTGGCAGAAGCTCACAGCCAGCTTATCAGCTCTTAGTAAGAAATAGGATGAACAAGAAGCAATAAATTGCAGTAAAAACATGATGAAAATAACAGTGTACATGTTTAATGTTTATCTTTGTGTACTACATTTGGAGCTCTGCTCCACTGTTAAATGAAGAGTTGATTCAAGATGGCTAATATTCAAGAACTACCATGCTCAGTGAATCCATTCATTGTTTTTCTTCAGATCAACACCTGTGTAAGTGTCATAGGATTTAAGGTCACTTGGCACAATTAAAAATGGCCTAAATTAAACTTACCAGGTATCTACTCAGTGCTGATCATCTCAGCTGGTTTCCACATAAGGAGACCATTACTTTACTACTCACATCATTCTTCACTACGTAAGCATACAAGCAAGACATTTCAGTTAAGTTTCTGAATTAATGGTTGTGCAAGCTGCAGAGGTAGTTACTACTTTTTAATAAGTTATTTGGGTGGTTGGTTTTTTTGTTTGTTTGTTTAGTTTCTTTTTTAAAGTTGGGTTAGCCCAAACAGCTTGGAAACATGAAGGCCAAAGTGACACGCTGAGGTAATCTCTTCTATTTGAAGTGATGGCTGTTTTAAAGTCTGCCTTTTGTCAGTTCATCAGTATCTTTAACCTGTGAAGTCTGTGATGAACTTGATGATGAACTGACTAGTGGGATTACAGAAGATTTTTATCTCTTACAAGGGATAAAACCTCCTCAAAAATACAGAGCAAGATAGTTGCTCTGGCTAGATTAAAAAAAAAGAAAGAATAAAAAGGAATTCCCAAAAATAAAGGCAAATCTTTTGTAACAAAGATTTAACTTACAATACCGTTCCCTCCTTCAAGAATCCAGGAGACTCAAGAATCCAGTCAGTACTCTGAAAACAACACCTAAAATTTCTAGAGGTGCAATCCAAGTAGAAAGTAAATTTAAGAACCGAAAATATTACTGACCAAGTGCTACACTAGAGTTGCCCTGAGTTTTGAGTTGGGAAGAAGTTTGCATGCCTTGTGGGGTGTTGGTTCTGCTCTCATCCATGCCTAGAGACAGATCCTTCCTAGGGACTTTAGCTGCTGTTGCATCATCAGTCATGCCCATCTGCTTCTGTCTTCTGCGTTTTTTACTCCACAGCTCATGGCAATCCTGCCACAAAGGAAGGCTGCAAAGAATGATTAGAGATATCAGTTTTATCCCAGATTTTTAAAAAATGTTTCTTTAACTACAGTGGTAAAATAAACATTCAAATTACGCATAACACAGCATTTGTAAAGATGAGCCTGCTGGAATTTAGAAATGCATCAGGAAACATCCAAAGTCAGATAGGCTTTCCTGCATCAAGTCTCTTTTTCAATTGCCTACTTCACAAGTGCAGGTCTCTCTGGCAGAGAACAGGAACGTGCATCTTACTATGAGAATCAATGTCACTTTCTTGCTTGTAGAAGTACCACATCTGTGCAGTTACATTTGTTCACAGTAGCAGACATGGCTATCCAGTATGAGCAGCCATACAGTACAGGCAACCAAAAAAGGGGAAAAAAAATGTTGCAGGAATAAACAGTACTCAACACTAACAAATTTAGGTTGATAGGAAGAACAAGGGATACTCCAGCCCTTTAAGACAGACAAAAGCAGAGGAAAAATATCTTCTACAGCACTCATCGGAAATCAGTTCAATCTTCCCATTACTATTCCTCCCTACAGGTATCCCAATTCAGATGTCTTGAGGAACACAGAATCCCACCCCATAGCTTATGGAAATACTGAGATATGGCATTAAAACAGCTCCTTCTGTTTTCCCTTTACATATCAGTAGTAACTGTCTGAGCAGTTCTCTCACCCAGGAACATGAAAAAAAATGAGGTGACAGATGATAAGAATCACTGGAAAGGAAGTTTTGACAGTTGCTTTCTATTCTCTTTCTCCACAGAACAGCAGGTCAAAAGACCTGTCGGCTATTTAGTCAACAACAGCTTGGATCAATCAAGAAACTATAAGAACTATCCTACAGTACTTGCAATCAGCAATGAGCAGCTGTTTCTTCCAAGAGAGGAGCCTTATTCTTTCTTGAGAAGAGTCATCATTTTCATTTCACTGCAACAAATGTTGGTGTCCATTTTTAAAAGGATACCAAAGGACAATTTGTTTGCTTTTAATTTTCTTACATCAGTTTCTAGAATAGATGCACTACCAAGGCCCTGAAGAGAACATTTTCTTCTCATTCCCTAACTTCAAAATGCATTAGCAACAAGGTTCTGAGATTTTAATGAACAACTTAATATTTAATACTGCTGTTTAGTAAAGTTCAGATGATGGAAAGAGACTCAGTCTTATGCATCCTTTACTACCTTCTATATGTTACAGGTAAGTCTTGAAAGATTTTTAATGAAATTCTTAGATAAAGCTGAACTATTTTTTCCAGTTTGTAACTAATTATTAAGAAGTCAGCAAGGCTGCCTTGAAGGTACAATTTAGTCAAACTATTAAATGTTCTGTCATTAGGCAGCTATCTCAAGGGAAAAGTTAAACTTGCAGACTCTTTAAATGTTTTCCATTGTATTGGAATGAGCCCTGAGTAAAAGTTTGTAATGCCTAAAGTGACAATCAAGTCACTGTGAAAAAAAAAAAGAACTACTGAACACTGCAATATATCTCCGTTCAGAGGAGAGAAAAGAACAAATAAAAAGCCACACAAAATATTTCACTTCTGGAGAACCAGGCATCTCATTTGGCACAGTAAATCACGTATGGTATTTTACTTTAACTCTCAGATACCTTTAAAGAATTCTGTGCCTAATGTCATTCTGTCATTGTATGGGAACTGTAAGATCACAGCCTGAACCAGCGATTGAGCACCTGTTGAAGAAGCACGGCCAGCCCTGGGAGCACAGGTGGAAGCAAAATCCTGGGTCCACCCCTCCCTAACCTCATTTAAGGGCTGGCAGCTGAGAAAGAAACACCTCTGTTCAGATATTACTTCCTTCTGGGAGTTTGCAGCAAGCTCTGGCCTTCAGAATGGGGTAAACTATTCTTTTCCTATTTCTGGCATTTGACTGATACATTTCATGGGTCGTTGTAAGACTTGTCAGAAGCAATTTCATACCTCTTTGCCTGAAAAAGCCACCAAAGAAGGTAATTCAGGTTCATGAGGGGCCCCAAAACCCTTGGAAAACATGGACACTGATAAACAGATACATTCCTTTTTGAAAAATGACAGTCACTAATTCCAGGAGCATCAGTTCAAACTCATCTCAGATCCTCACAGCCACTGATATCATGACGTAAGAGCCACTAAACTGCACTTCAGTGCAGAATCACCAACTGTACATATTGACAATTTTCTTCTACAACAAGCTTCTTCAACTGAAACACAACGAGCTTAATGATCTCAGTACATGTTTGCTGCTGTTTTGTAGGTTAAAGAATATTACTAATGGAAATGACTTACTCTGGGGGAGGCATTTTAGATGGTTCCACATCTCGCAGAAACTCGCACTGAAGAGCTTGTTCAGCTGTACAGCGCTTGCTGGGATCCAGAGCAAGCATGTAATCAAACAAATCTAATGCAGCTGGTGGGATGCTGCAAAAGAACACAGTGGAAAAAAGCATCACCTGTTTTCTGAATCACATACTTCAGTGCAAAGTTTTCATAAGAACAACTCTCCAGAATAACTGAACATCTAAAATGAAGAATTTACTTTTAAGAAGCAGATAACAAAGTTCATCTTTATCAATCTCTGTAAGCATAGAAACCTAAGTGTCTTATGGGTTTGGTTTTTCTGTTTGTTTGCTTTTGCAGAGGTGGGGATGACTGTGGGCAGTTGTGTTTCTGCATGTGGCTGACTTGCTTGAAATACTGTTCTTAAAAAAACAAAAAACAAAGCAAAAACCCAACACAATTGAAGCCAAGACTATAGTGTTACTTGACACTTTGGAATTTGGTGCACAGAGAGGTGCAATTTTGTATGGACCAAGCAAAACAACTCTACTGCTTTAGGAAAGCCTTGTTAGTTGAAGCAGGATGATATACTGATCCTAAACCCTGAAGCAGATGAAGGAAGGGAACAATCCCTTTAAATTGAATCTACAGCTGCTTTCCATAGCTTTCATGTGTGAAATTTGGAGGAAAAAAAAAAAAAAAAAGATCCAATGGTACACAGTATTTTAGAATAGACGGTTCAGGTAACTCTTGTGTTGAATGAATTTATGACCCAAAAGACTGTAATGTTAACCAGACTTCATATTTAGCTGTAACCAGTTGTCCTAATAAAAAACAATTAAGTACTGCAAGCTGTTTTTTGGACAGGGAAAGCAAGCAGGTGTACCAATCACAGAAAACAAATGTGTCCTTAGGTGAAAGCTGACAGGTGGCTGAAATTTTAGGGCCTTCTTTCTCCCTTCTTAAAACTTTATTAAATACTTAAATAATATAAATACAAGCTCTGCAGGAATCTTCTAGGATTCGAAAGCCATTTTTCTTTACACATGAGTGTTTTCTAGAAACTGGCTGAACATCCATTAAGTTCACAAAGATGCCAGCAACACGTAATGCTGTTACAGTTGAGTAAACTAATCCTTTGTCCTTACAATGCAAACTCTTCTCTCAGTTTTCGACGATACTGCTTCTTTGGTTTCATTGTGTTGAAATAAGCTAACTTTATAACATCAGGCCACACTGCTGGACAAGGGCTTCCACAGATTCGGCTGTACAAAAAGAGGAGGAAAGAAAGGCATGAGATCCAAAAGCACAAGTGTGCACAGCTGTCATTTTATTCTTAGAAGTACAGTAAATACAAAACTCATTATCTAATGTTAACATTCAGTTTCATTTAGCTAAAATTTCTCTACAGAAAGACCCAACACCATTAAGGAATGGTTAATTATCCAGGAAAGGTAACCACCCTTCACAGACTAAACTTCATAAAATCCACTATGTCTGTGCCCCAACCACTCTAAAGCATCTTCTGCACAAAAGGTTACATTCTGAAAGTCAACTAACCATGTCTGGACACCACTCACGTATTTGATCTGGAGAAGTGGATAACCCAGATCTAGGATGCTGGGCTGTTAGCTCCTAATTGCAGTGAAGAAAGAAATACCAAAGGCCTGAAGAAGTATTAACTTTAAGACTAACTAACTAAGAATTTAGTTGACACAGAAGATGCTCTTGGAGGAAAAAAAAGAACACAAAACAACCGACCGCTTAAGTCCTAAGGGTAAATACAAGCTTTTAGCAGCTCAATCTTGTTTATTTTTATCTTTACTTTTTCATTACAGTTATTAGTCTTCTGTGTTGGGCCTAATCTATTTCCATATATGGAATTGTCCTTAGCCTCGGTCCTCCCACTCTGTCCATGCCTGTTTTTTCCCATCAAGGATGGCAGCACAGCCTAACACCACGCTTCTCAGCAGGAGAATGGGAGTGGTAGTTTACCCTGCAATGTTTAAGACCTCTGATGAAGGCAGTCAATAAAAGAACTTGCTGAGGAAATATATTTCCCTACTTCACCCCTCTCCATTTATTTGATTTAAATTGCTTGTGCAAGAGACCTAAGTATGAGTTAATTACGTCCCTATGTTTGGAGTACATTACTTTCAGGAAGAAAATAAATTCTGTTTTTTTCTAACAGAATTTACTTCAGTTCTATATTTGAGCATTAAAGCTAGAAAGAATAAAATGTAGAACTGTTGACTGTAACGTGACGGTTACAGAGATTGTGTATAAAATTATAAACTAAAACTGATATATTACACCTAAACAGTCTCCAAATGCATAGTACTGAATAAAATGGAGAGGAAAAATAGCTACAAGCAGCTAGCTGCCAGCATTCTTCCAGCAGAAAGAAATCTCAAAATGTGGATTTGCTGTACCAGGAGGTAAAATCTCTCATGCCTGCACTCTCACTGCCATCTAGTGGACAAAAGCAAAGACTTCCAAAATCTAGAACTTTGTTCTACCAAGAATGATCACTGGTAGTACTGCACCTCCTAAAAACTTTATTTCTCCTCATCAGCTAGTAAAATATTACACAGAAGCATACTGTCATTTAATCTATCTTGAAAAACATTTCAATATATAAAACTTTCATTTTAAAATACTTTGATTTTAAAAATAATTTTACTATTTACTCTTCTGGTGCTGTACGTTCTACAGGACTCACCCTCCTTCCCCCTTGTTTTTAGGAAGAGGATGTCTGCTCACTTACGAGGTCACCTATGATATCAGAATCAAGAGCAACTTCTGCTTGCAAAATAAAGAGGAAAACAAGATGCACTGGTTCCATGGAGTTATATACATGCCATCCTAAAATTTACTGAGATAATGTAGTAAACAAAATATTCACCTCCATAAAGTATCTGGCAGTTTGTAAGGGAAGAGAAATATATGAAAAAATGAAAGCCCAGGTGCACACGTGGGAAAACTCAATGCAAGATCTTAAGGCAAGCAGCATACAAAGCACCTACTGCTCCTAAACCTGCTGTCCTTACTGACCATGTTTCCTTTGATTTGCTGTAAAGAATTTGTGATGCCATCTTGAAAAGGAATTACATTCTTTTACAACTTCAGTAATAGGAAAAGCTCCAGCTGCATTTTGAAACACTTCCCCACATTCACACATAAGACACTTCTTCTACATGCCCCTGAAGACCACTAATATCTCACTCAGGATGATAATGAAGTACTTGTAAATGTCAGCAGTGTGTTACCTTTGTTTTTAATGTGAAAAAGATTGGCAGTTTACCAGGTACCTACCACACTGTAGTGCCTGCTAGTTACCTTATAAGTTCCAGCTGAGCAAGTTCTTGATTTGCTTGAAATATTGGCTTTTTTGTAAAAAGTTCACCCAGGATGCAGCTGTAAAACAGTTTCATACAATTTCATCATTATGGCTTCCAGTACAGACTGACAGAAATATGCACTGCTGGCTTGTTGTTGTGCTTGCTACACTTCTGTACCAAACTCTTACCCACAGCTCCAGACATCGATAGCTGGCGTGTATCTTTCTTCTCCAAGCAGAAGTTCAGGAGGCCGATACCATAATGTAATAACTTTGTTGGTATATGGTCGGCTGTTGGAGGGAGCAAAAAAAAAGAGGACTATCATTTTGCTACAATCTCATTTCTGAAAAAAGTGATATTTTGAGGGGTATAATTCTATGGTGTTATTTAAGGACAGCGTTGCCTTCCTTCTTTTCAGTTCTACAAAGTTACAACTGCAAAAAAGCAACACATCCATCTGACCAAGGCTATCAAAGAACAGCCTGAAACGAGACCTCAGAGATACACAAGTAATCAGCAAGCCATCTTGATGCTATGTGCATCCTGTATTTCAAATAATTAAACAGTTCACTTATCACACTGCTAGCCATTTCAGGAAAAAGATCTGCTTTGATAAAAAAGTGATTTCTCGATAACTGTTAATTAGTAGAATACTGAAGACAGGATTTCTACAAACATTTTTAAAAGGGGAAAAACAGTCACTCTCTGGAAAGAAAGAAACAAAGCCTTTCTCTCAAACTATGTCCTTCAACAACTTTGCATTCTAAGTCTGGACCATTTCTAACATATTCCTTTATTTCAACATTTTTAATTCTTTACAGTTCTAACCAGAAGTTCTGGTCATAGTGAATAATCCTTTCCATCCTCACACTAACATAAGGATTCCACTACCTCAGACATGCATTTTCTGTGCACTGGCCAACACAGAGCATCAACAGTTCAGAACAGGAGTCATAGCAGATGGTAGGGATGGGCTGTTTTCCACTTAGTTTTTGCTTTGTGTTTAAAGAGGGGGGATGGGCCGGGACAACAGTAGGATGGTTCTTAAAAGTGATAAAAAACATCCATCTAGTTTTAAGATCACGAGTTTACCAATACTAAGTAACTCCAAAGAAAAAGCAGAGCAGCATTACGCGCAGTGTTTTTACAAGCTCTTACAACGTGCTTAGCACTACAGGTATCATTTCTGCAAAATTGTCCCAGCTTTTTTCATAAAGCCCCCTATTTTTGGTTTATTAAAATTAACACAGCATGGGTTTTTTTTTGGAAGTAGCTCTACCATATATTTATCTCTGAAGCAAACATCCATGTTCAAAATGTTTACATGGTATGGACTTCCTCTACAGATAAGCCACTCACATATATATATATATTGGTATACTGTCATTCTTGTTTGAACAGCTGTTTTCTCACACAATCTGTCATAGCTCTACTCTAAACATATTAAAGCCTCCAAAATAACACTTAAAGAAGAAACTAGAATAACTGATAGGAATTCCGTTACAATTTTATTTCCTCTCCATCATGCTCCTACTAAACTCTGTAACCTTTTGGAAAGCGTGTCATTCCAACAACAGTAAAACAAGAGTAAAATACACAAACCTAATCATCACTTATATGTTTGTTGGTGTACATCAAGTACTGACGTTACTGCAGGTCAGAAGCTATTCAGAAGGAAAATGAATGCCAAAAGAATTGCAAAAAATATACTCATGAGATTCTAATAATCTTCCCAAGATCAATTAGCAATTTTATTAGCGACAGTAAGTACATTTTAGTCTTGTTTAATTTATCTATAATGAGGTAATGTTGTTTTCACATTCAGTAAAATCTTATTTGCATTATAAGGATGTTGAACTTCCACTCTTTCAATTCTTAACATTTAGTTCTATAACCGACATCTAAATTTAAAAAGATATTACAGATAATGACTGTAAACCAACAAGAAGTCAGCCTGGGGAAGATTAAAGTAGCTAGGTAGGATGGCATAATATCTTTAGTTATAAGTACATCCAAAATGAAAGTGAATTAGAACCACAGAATCAACAAGATTGGAAAAGACCTCCGAGATCATCCAGTCCAGCTGTCCACCAACCACCAATATTTCCCACTACACCGTGTCCTTGGGACAACATCTAAACGCTTCTTGAACACCTCTAGGAATGGAAAGTCAACCACCTCCCTTGGCAGTCCATGCCAGCTTCTGATCACTCTTCCAGAGAAAAAAAATCTCCTAACATCCAACCTGAACTTCCCTTGGCATAACTTGAGACCATTCCCTCCAGTTCTACTGCTAACTGCCTACCAGCTGCTACAAATGATCTTACCCCAATACTGTACTCCAAACAGTTTCCCTAATTGTTACTTGAGCATACCTTCCTGAAATAACAGCTCAGGAGACAGTGAAAATAACACTGTTGCACTGAAGAACGTCAGAGGTCTGTGAGAAAATAAACTCATAAAACTGAACATGCAGACACAGTTTCCCAAGTTGGGCACGCAGAACTCACAGTAAGCTTAAGTACCTAACATTCTCAATATCCAGCCATCCGTCGTACATATCGATGTAATTAACATTCAACCTTGACTTTGAAAATCTCAGTCCAAGTAACAAATACATAACACCACAATATATATATTAAAATTCTTAATCATAAATGCTGTGCACCTGTTTCCTGGAGTACAATTGTAACAGAGCCATCAACAACAGAAGCACAAGTCACAAGAGGTTTCAGAAGAGCTTTTATTTAAACTTGTATCTCTGTTTCCAACAGATGTAACAGCACTGACTGCCTAAAGAATACAATAAACCTCTTCAAATTTAAGATTAAATCTTACACAAAAGTAATGCTTAAAAAAAAAAAAAAAAAAAAGACAGTAAATGGATTGGATTTATGTCAGAATAAATGTCACTGTTCCTAAATAAACCTCTCCTAGGTACATCAACAGAAAGAACGTAAGTTTACAAGACCATAAACTAACATTTAGTAAATGTCTGCAGGATGTAACCTATTTAAAACTGCAACTCTTCATTTCCAAACAATATACAGCTCCTCTCTACAGTTATTTACCCTCAATAGTCATAAGGGCAATCACTTGTACAAAGGGAGCTTTGTGTTTGTATGCTGTGTGAGATAACACGCACTTCTTGCAATTTCCTAAGCAACGCTACTTATGTTACAGTACAATAACATCTCCAGACAAATAAATAGGTTTTTTTCCAGCCCTCACAATACTCAAGAGTTATGAAAGAAGACATACCTGTCAATGCTTTTTCACAGTACAATCATATCTTACCTTTCTTCTGAGTTGTACAGCCGAGCAAGCCCAAAATCTGCAAGCTTTATCTGCCCTCTGGTGGGAAAAGGAAAGAATTATTTAGGAGTTAACCCTGCTAAAACTAGCTCAAGTTTCAGGTTTTCAGACAGCTGCAACTGAGCTTCAGGAAACGCCTTACAAATCACGTCTCTCTTCAATTAATAAATACACTAACCTACTCACTGCCAAAGAAAAGCAAGCAAAATTACATACAGTGACGAAGCAGAATTTACACCAGTGTATGCCACTCAAGATTTAGGGTGTATAATGTTAAAACATTCAAACCAACAACTCTGCAGGAAAAAAAACTGATGGAGGAAACTTCTTTATTTTTTGATGCTTTGATAGTTGAAGTACTGCTAGCATAAGGATTTGTACAGCTAAAACAACAACAACAAAAACCTAGCAGCAACCCTACTTCCTTCTAGCAAGTCTAAGCACTCTTTTGTTCTTCGGAAGCTTAAACATGGCCTTCAAAACAGGATAACCAACCAGATAAGGGCTTCTATTTTTGCCAGCAGCCAATTTGCTGAATGATACAAGCCCTAAGCCCTTGAGTTTTCCCATATACGAAAAGAAATGTGGATGATACAGAGCTTTGCCTGGCTTTCTTCATTTGCTTTTACCACAAACACTTTCACTACTCAATGAGAAACTCCTACATCCACAAAGCTGGGATGATTTAAACATAAAGCAATGTGCATACATGGAAAACACTTGGCAATGTTACATGGATTCTTTGTTTTGATTTGGTTTCCCTGTAATTATGAGCGACTTTCAAATAAATGAAAGTTTTGTCTATTTCAAATTACAGCAAGACTTGCAGATATGTGAGAGAATGACAGTTTTGTGATAACAAAATATACAGATTACAGTTTTTATTTCTTTTTTCCCCTCATCCATATGCCTGAAATTAGTGTAACACTTCGTGGTGATGCTCCAAAAGCAAATAAAATATACTTTTATTCTTCAGATCCTGTATTTGTAGAATATCAAACAATTTTTGAGTACAGATGTTTAACTTGGATAGCTAAAATAGATAAAATCCATGCCTTTCACTTTCAGGCTGTAATGATAACAGGACTTTAGAAGCACTGGCTTAAAATTATTCGAATCAATTACGTATTTCTTCTTCAAGTGGAAATCTCTAAGATACTCACAAAACATCCTAGGGGAAAATACTGTTTATCCTAGAATCAAGGGAGCATGGTACAGCAGAAAGCACTGCCTCTACTGTAACGTGTCAAGTCATATCTCAACTTCTGAGCTCCCAGACGTGCACAGTGACAGCATCAGCACTGGACAGACAAGAAACATGAGGTGTATGGGCAAGGTGAGCTATGTGGAGGCATGTGCACATCTGTTTGAGAGTCTGCATCAGAGTCTTGCAAGGTTGGTGGCATCCAGAGCTGAAAACAGTCTAATATTAATTAAAAAAAAAAAAAAAGGACAAAAAAGGGAAATTCAATTTGGGCAAACCTGGGACAAAACCAGGGCCCTCCTAAATAAGATGTTTGATCTTTTTTGCCCCGTATTTTATCTCCAACAATGGCATAAGCAGATTTTTAAGGTGAATGTGTGAGACTTCCCAGCTTTGAGGCTCACCTTCCTTCTACACAACCAGCACCCAGGATCTCTGAATTAGGGATCCCTGTCTAATGCTTTTAGCAGATTTTAACGACGTCCATAAACTTGTCTTGTCCTTTTCTGAATCTTATGATACTACCCTGAAAGCGTCCTGAGTCAGCACATCCCAGAAGCTGACAACCTGCTCTGTACCGGTAAGAATATCTGTCAAATCTGTACCTTACTAGTTTTTACTGTTGCTCCCTAGTTCCAGTACAATTGGATGTAGTGAACTGGAGTTCTGTACTAAAGTTATCTGCTAGCTTCATCATTTTTCACACCACAATCATACACCTGCTTCAAAACAGTTTTTTGAATATTCCTCCTCCTACTCTTTAAACAGCTTCAGCTGTCCTCTGTGTACACTGCAATTCTGTTTTGTCTCCTTTGAGATACAGGTATAAGAATTCAAGACAGAGACAGAAGTTCTGCACAGTAAGAAAGCACTGTCTCACTCTCAGTATCCTTCCTAACAGTGAAATGCAGTTGTGACCTTAATTTTTGCTGCCGCACATTCAACAACAGCATGTTTACAAATGTTTTTTTTTAAACCACTTGTGATTATAAATTCTTCTCTCCCTTTGATCGTGGCTGTAATTGCAAGCCAAAACACGATTGAAAATACCTAATCAAATATTGTTGTAAAGCATTATCCTGATTAATAAGAGTGAAGGCTTCTGAATTCTGGCACACTTCATTTTGAAATGATGATAAAAAGAATACACAAACAGATTTCCTAAAATCTCTGTTTTAATTCAACTCAGGTAACTTTTCCCCATCCTCTCACTTAATAGACACAAGTTTCAACCTTGCTATTTTAACATGCAAGTTTAAAAGAAAACTGCCAGATCCAGTATCAAGCAAAAATATTACCAGATTATTATTTTACAGTTAGTTTCTAAATCAGCTAGGCAATCTATAAAAAAAACTTTGGCTCATGGATTAAAGCAGGTGAACTGTAAAGATTATAAAAAAGATTTAAATATGATCCCAACGTACAACATTTACATACTAGAAGTGTTATTCATACCTGTTATTTAGTAGAATATTTGAACATTTTATATCTCTGTGCAAAAAGTTCTTCTTGT